GCTCCATGCGTGGATGGGATTTTAGGAGACAGTCAGGGGCTCTGCATTTGTGAGCATTGTTATTTTTTTTTTAATTAATTAATTTATTTTTGGCTGAGTTGGGTCTTTGTTGCTGCGTGCGGGCTTTCTCTAGTTGCGGTGAGCGGGGGCTACTCTTCCTTGCGGTACACGGGCTTCTCGTTGTGGTGGCTTCTCTTGTTGCAGAGCACGGGCTCTAGGCATGCGGGCTCAGTAGTGTGGCACACAGGCTTCAGTAGTTGTGGCTTGTGGGCTCTAGAGCGCAGGCTCAGTAGTTGTGGTGCCCGGGCTTAGTTGCTCTGTGGCATGTGGGATCTTCCCGGACCAGGGCTCGAACCTGTGTCCCCTACATTGGCAGGCGGATTCTTAACCACTGCACCACCAGGGAAGTCCATTTGTGAGCATTCTTAACTAATGTTTTAGTAGGAAACAGTGCTCACATACATCACATCTACAGTGGGCATCTGTCGACAGGAGTTGCCAGAAAGATCTACGGTAATTACCTCTTATATAGAGGGAGGAAAATCCTCCCGTGCTTTCTCACTTCTGGGTCGATGCCTCCCCTGTAGGTTCTCCTGGTGATGTCTATTTTGTTCTTCTTTCTTGGTTACCAACATTTTTCCTGGAACCTATTCATTGTCTTGGCAGGGGTAGACCCCTTGTCCCTATCTGTGTGTCCTGTGCCCATGTGTTGAGGAATTGTTTTTTGGTGTTTTTTTTCCCCCCATCAGGATGTTATCCCCTCATAGGCGCTGCATATCAAGATCTTGGGACCTGTTGTCTGAGCAGATATTCGCGTCCTTAAAATCATCTTTTATTTCCTTAACGGGGGTGTTTGGTTCCTGGGGGCAGAGATCATTTCTTCCTCTCTCCATACTCGTTTGTTCAGCTTAGTGCTTTGCACCTAGTATGTGCTGAATAAATGTTGCTTGAAAGAATAAACAGAACATATTTTTGGTCTTTTTGGTGAATTTATTTCCATAATTCAGACATAACATTTCTTTTTTCTTTCTCCCTCTCTTTTTTAGAATTCACCAATCTTTTTTTAAAAATTTTTTTCAAACTTTTTTTTTTTTTTTTTTTTTAATCCTTTGGCCTCGCTGTGTGGCGTGCGGGATCCTAGTTCCCTGACAAGGGATCAAACCCACGCCCCCTGCCTTGGAAGCATGGAGTCTTAACCACTGGACTGCCAGGGAAGTCCCACCAGTCATTTATTGGTGATGAGACTTGAAAAAATAAATGATAAACCCTTAAATGATTTTTCTTTGTGCACATTATTTAGTCTTCCCCATAATTGGCATTAGTATTTCTACTTTTACAGACGGGGAAACTAAGGTTTAGAGAAGTTAAGAAACCAGCCCAGGGTTCCAGGGCTGGTGAAGTGGCAGAACTGTGGGTGACCTAGACAGCCCCCTTCCCGACGGCTAAAGTAGCCGCTGGAAGGGACCTGCTGGATCGTTGGCCTTCTGAAAGGAACGCTGAAAGTTCCTTGCATTTAAATGACGATTGAATTACATTTACTTGAATTCTGTGACTCTGAAGTTGCAAATGAATGCTAAGAGTGTATTAGGGTAGCCCTTGGCTGTGGGACCAATTGAGAAACAAAATGAAAGTGCTGCAAACAAATGGATTTTCCTACTTAGAGTAGGTGCTTCCTCCAGTCCCATCCATCCTGTGGCATTTGCCGGAAGGATTCTTTCTCATCTAATTAAACAGTACAGGCCAGATGTTATGTGTTCTCAATAATTTAGTACCCATGTCTTTTTGCCCCTATGGTTAGTTTGGAGACAGCAATTTAGAATAATCTGTGCACATATTTTAAAAACAGGTAACGACTGTCCATTTGTGTGGTAGTGTTTTCGCTCATCTAGAGCTTATGGGGTTTCTGTCCGTATCTTGAAACTGTCCTTTAGAACAACTGTCTGTCCAGTGTGGTAACTTTTCCCAGAAGTCTCTAGCTTCTAATGGGAGAAACACAATCTGTGATTCATGAGCACGTGTTTTGGGGTTAATTCTATTTGCATCTTTGGTTTTTCCTCCTTATTCCCAAGATACATACAAATTAAACATTCAAGATTGCACATCAGTGCGTTGGATTTTTATCTGGGGTGGTTCCTTCTCTAAGTGGGGAGTTGGGGATGTGAGGGGGTGTGGCAGTACTTACTAACCTTAGTAGTGATTATCCCAAACATCCTAAGCAAAGACTACCCTGAGTGTGTTTTTACTGAAAGCTCTTCCTGTCATTCTGGGTATTTTATACTGTTTATTTATTTACCTTTTTTGAAAGGAAATTCCTTCCTTACTGTCCTATCTTATCTTAGATCAAAGTTTCCACCCAGGGACCCTTACTTAAATAGCATTGTCTAAGGCTGTATGTGTTTTCTTTCCTTCTTTCTTCTTCTTTTTTTTCTTTTAAAAGCTATCTGAGTTTTTGCCCCATCTGCACTCTCTGGTATCCCTTCATTCTATTTATGACTATTGTGCAATGAATATTCATAGTTTCCATCATTAACGTAGTAATGTGCCATTCGTCAGTGCACTGGCTTCCTTGTACTATAATTTTTAAAAATTCTGTTTCTTTTATGTATTTATTTTCAAAATTTTGGCCTCTTTGTCTTAAACATTTTTTTTTCTAGGGTTTGTAATCATGGGAATTTTCTGCCCTTAACTGAGACATATGTGCAGGTCTAAAACTGTACTGTGCAAGATGTCAAATGGCTTAAAAGGATTTCTGTTGTGATCTGAAAGGGTGGCTCTGTGTCTTCTGAGGGTATAGTCTGACCACATGAATACCAATAATTAGGCATCTTTTATTTTAAGAGAGGGGCAGCTGTTACTGTAGTTGAATTTGAAGATCTTTAGCTATTTCGCGCCTTTTTAAAAAAGGGCTATTCTCCATATATGCATCTCTTTGGCAGGTTTGGTAATAGACTTGGATACTGGCATGTCGATAATGTGACACAAGAAGGGAAAGTAAAAACATCTGAAAAGGAATATCTGAAGTGTTCTGAACATTAGATTTTAAGGTATTAGGTTTGTTTTTCTTAAGTTTTTTTTTCCAGTGGATTAAAAAAAAAAAGTAAGACACCTAAGCATCATGCATGTCAATTCATTTTTGAGTAATTTTAAGGTTAAAATCTTCACCCATCTTGCACTTGATCAAAGGGTTTAGCAATGAAAGCTCCCCTAGAGCATACTCAGACGTCCCTTGGAGACTTGTTTGGATGAGAGTTGCAGTGGTGATTGTGCCTTCCAGGAGTTCTCAAGCCTTTTATTTAAATCATTGCTTATTATCTCTCACTGTTGTTTAAGAACACAGCTCCTGACCCTGAAAATCCAGTGATGATTTCACCTGGAGGGTGAATTATTGGGCATGTGGGATTAGGGGGACAGACTGCTGTCTCCCTCTTTGCCATCATCAGAGGTCCTGAAGCCCCTTCTCCTGCTGGCTAACGTCAGGCAAGAGCGTCACTGCATATTCATAACAGATTTTGCAGGGCTTCAGAGTTCACAGAACAATTTCACATGTTATCTCAGTCAGTTCTTGCAACAGCCCTGTGAGGTAGTGGATAAATATTTTCATCCCTGTTTTGTAGAGGGGGAAATTGCCTTCCAAGAAGGTGAGTGCTGTGCCCCAAGCCACAATTTTCTATTCTTACAGTGGAGCTGGGTCTGGAACCAAAGTTTCCTGTCCTCCTACCTTGACCCCATTATTCTGCTTCACCCAAGAAAGTCAGGATTTGAGGACAGTGCATTTAGGATCAAATCAGGCAAGGTGTGTGACCTAAAAGCTTTAATAATGTGGATTTCAAAATGGTACTTAATTTCCTGAATATTATAATATTAATGAGAAATAATATGAATCAGCCACTAATTTCTCCATTCAGACAAATGCATTTGATTTTCCATATTCCATGACAGATTTATAGACCTGAATACTTAATTTTACATAGCTGTGAAGAGCGTAAATCCTATTTTGTATTTTTCAGATGCCTCAAGGGCCAAAAGCTCATACTGTAGTAGGAATATTGGCAGTTTGGCTAAGAGAAGAGAAGGGAGACGACCTGGCTAGCAACCCTCCCTTGAGGAATAGGGATAAATGACTTCTGACAGTATTGCAAGCTGGGGCAAAGGTTTGGTGAAAACAGGAAGCTGCTTATGAGAATTCAGCGTTAGATATGGATTCGAGTCCGTGCTCCACCATGCAGTCCCTTTGTTATGATGAACAGACGTCTCCTAACCTCTCTGAGCCTCAGTCTCCTCCTCTGAGAGTGAAGGCTGTGAGGCAGTTTCATGTGTTAGGTGAGAATTCAGGGTGCTGGTGCCCAGCTGCCTGACGTCATAAGCCTGCAGTCCTGTCCAGGCTCCAACACCTCTTGGTTGTGTGATACTTAACCTCTCCGTGTATCTTGAAACAGGGGGATACTAATAATACCTACCTGATAGGGTTGTTAGGTTCACATGAGTTTCAATACATGAATGGCTCACAGTAAATTTCCTGTCAGAAGTTAGTCATTCTTAAGTGGGATAAGGTAGGGAAGTACTTGGTGCCTCTATTAAGCTCTCAATTTATTAGTTTCTTTTTCTCCCATATAGATGTGTTGAGGTTAAGCCTAATGAAAGGAATTTAAAAACCGCTGGAATTTGCATCAGACTCTGTTTATGTCATTATTGGCCTCTTATACCTTGGACACATTTTTTTTTTAATGTGATATTTTTGTACTACTAAACCCTTAAAATATTGTGTTATATCATGTCTAGGAAATTCATTGTAAGCCTTTCAAAGAGAGAAGGCTTTGTGATAAAAGCCAGCTGCCCAGACATTTCCACCCTCCTCCCCCATACCCCAGCCGACTGCACAGGCAGTATGTTGGCAGAGATCCAGATTTCCTAAGTGATGGGATTGTTCCCGAGACAGGAATGAGAGGAATCTGCCCAGATTGGAGATGGTTTCAGCTCCTTTGCTTGTTTCATATTCGTAGCCTCGTCCCTGAACTAACCGACCAGCACCGTTTTCCAGTTGCTGGGGATGCTGTTTTAACGCAGGTATGTAAGGTCTTCGTGTTAAAAAAAAAGTAAGTTTTGAATCTACTTTTTAAGCTCATGGAAGTTTTTCTGCTTTTCTTTGTACAACGGAAGAAGAAGTGTGAGTTCACTTCCATTTATAGTGTCATCTCTGCAAACCAACATGGTTAGCCCCTGGCTGTGCTCCACATGTAGCAACTTTCTTGATCTGACTCAAGTATTGAGATTGTGGTTTTACCTTCCCCATGTAGGGCTGGGAAAGTTTAGTGATTTGCGTGGCTCAGGCCAGGAAATTATTGGCTCTTGTCAGTGGAATTTGTTTATCTTTTCCACTCCTCTGCATTCCTAGACTCTGAGAGAACTCATCATCACTGGGATTGCGCTTCAGTTTGTATGAACTCCTCCCCTTTCTCTATTTTTATTAAATATTTCTTTATTTTTATTAAATATTATTTTTATTTCTCTCTTCTTTGGATGTAAATTCAGGGACCGCCCCCCCATTTCAGAAAGGGCTCTCTTGCTCAGCAGTTGTTAAAATAAAAAAGATCTGCTGAACACTTTCTGTCCCCTTTTAAATTTGACTACCTCCTAAATACATGTTTTCTGCAGTTATCTCCATACTTTCTTTAAACTTAAGGTCAATGCATGTGTAAATCTCATGTGCTTCTAGACCTGTACTATCCAGTGGAACTATAATACAAGCCACATTAAAATTTACTAGAAAATGAAAAATTTTTAGTAGTCACATTAAAACTGTAAAAGGAATAGGTAACTTTAATTTTATGTTATTTAACCCGATATATTAAAGTATTATAATTTGGACATGTAATCAGTATAAAAATTATTATTGTGTTATTTAACTTTTTGGGGGAGCAAGTTTTAAAAATCCACGTATGTATTTTACACTTGCAGCATGTTTCAGTTTGGACTAGCCACATTTCAGGTGGTTAGTAGCCATATGTGACTCGCAACTGCCTTATTGGTTAGCAGGGATCTATACTTAAACTTTCCTTTTGTCTTGAAAAAGCGCTGCACTGTACTGGCAATTATTTTCCCAACCAAGTGGCTGAGAAAAGAGGCATGAGTCTGTGCCTCATGTCTTTGCCAGTAATTAACACGTATCTAGAGAGATTTTCTTTGTTAGAAAAACCAGTTGTGGGATAAAATATCCTAAAACATGAATTAAAATGTAGCAGGTGTCAACCTACCTAAACAGTTGGTTGACTTGTTGATAGCTAGTGATAAAAATTGCTTTGTCTTATGGCAAGACTTCGCAGTCCTAACAAGACTCAGCATTTAGCACACTCCCTGGATGCGCTATCTTGCGCGGAAGCTGGGGAACTCTGTTTCACGCTCCTGAAGTCTAGTGCAAAGCTGTGACTGTTGTTTGTGATTGACCATGCCCCCCACTACTTTTCAAGATCATCAAGTTTAAAAGGTGAAAGATGTTTGATCCTTAGGATGCCAGCTCATCTGCTTTATATTTCATCCTGTGCCCTGGTTTTTCCAGGATCCTTCAGTTACCTTCTTTGAGAAAAATGGTTCTCGAGTGTTAAAGATCATTTTTGAATCTTCAATGTAGATGGGTATGGCTGATTTTCAGCCATTGGAGGGTCACTATCTATTCTAGGACAGTGTTTCTCAAACTTCAATGTGGATGTGAATCACCTGGGGCTCTTGTTAACAGATTTTGATGCTGTAGGTCTGAGGTGGGGCCTGAGATTTTGCATTTCTCAAAAGTGTTCTGGCGATGCTGATTTTGCTGGTCCACAGACCACACTTGGAGCAGCAAGGATTTTGTGCTATGGTCACAAAAATGCCAATCTTTGATAAGTTTTTATTAGCCTGCAACAAAAAGAGAAAAATAATAATGTAGTGAGTGAGGCTTTCCAGTACACTAAAAGTGTTCTTGTTTTATCCACTTTTTAAAATTCAGAAATAATTTTCCTGCCTTCTTGTTACCACGGTGATTGTAAATGGTAGTTCTTATTTTTTTTAAAAAATGATCTTTCATGACAAAATCAAAAAGCTGACAACCCTATTTATGTCTCCAAGTTAATAGAATATTTCCACTGATCCACAAACTTCTGAAGTCACATGCCACCCCACCATCTAAACTATTAGTTTATTAATTTTCTTTCATAGTACTTAGAATGTTCTGTATTGACATAATTACTTGGGGTTTTTTTAAAAAATAAATTTATTTATTTAATTAATTATTTTATTTTTGGCTGCGTTGGGTCTTCATTGCTGCACGCGGGCTTTCTCTAGCTGTGGCGAGCGGGGGCTACTCTTCGTTGCGGTGCACGGGCTTCTCATTGTGGTGGCTTCTCTTGTTGCAGAGCATGGACTCTAGGCATGTGGGCTTCAGCAGTTGTGGCACACGGGCTCAGTAGTTGTGTCTCATGGGCTCTAGAACACAGGCTTAGTAGTTGTGGTGCACGGGCTTAGTTGCTCCACGGCATGTGGGATCTTCCTGGACCAGGGCTCGAACCCGTGTCCCCTGCATTGGCAGGTGGATTCTTAACCACTGCGCCACCAGGGAAGCCCTTGGATGTTGTTTAATGTCACTTTCTCCACTATGCTCTAAGCTCTGTTTTTTTCACCACTTTGTCCCTAGTGCCTCTCACTGGGTCTGGTGCCTGTTAGTCCCCAGCCGGTACTTTTCGAACAGCTTTATTCAGTGGGTCTCAGTGGGGGGGCACTGCTTTCACAAGTAGTGTTTTGGAAATTGGTGGGAACTGACTTCAGTTGTCCAAAAGAATGGAGTGCGCTATTGGTGTTTGGTGGGTGGAGGACCAGAGGTGCTAGACATTCTGTAGTATACAGAACAATACCAAACAAGTGAAAGCTTATCCTGTGCATCCTGCAAAATCTTAGAATAGCCCAATCAGAGCTTCTGTTGGTGAAATATCTGTCTATAATTATCTGAGCCAGAAACCTAACCCCATTTAACATACAAAAATTTTTTTTGACCCAGTTTTAATATATCCTGAAATTTTCAGAAATATAACTGCTGAATACTTCAAAAGCTGTACTTTGATTTATTGGTAACTTTTCAAAGACATGTCCGCCATTTTGGCAAATCCCTTCACCTGCTTGTGGTATTTGAATTGTACCAGTGCACACTGTGGGCAATATATGATTATGAATACACCCCCCCACACACACACACTTTGCCTTTATTTTAAAATATCCAATAAAAAGTGTTGAACAGTCCGGTGAGTGAATTTTACTCTTTTTAAATTCAAATTTACTCATTAAAGATAGTTGCAAGCATCTTACATCATTAAATCATTTAGTGTAGTCATGCCTATTTGTATCTTAAAATATGTATACACATAATTTACACATATGAAAGATGGTAAAAACTACTCCTGTTTATTTGCCTTTATACTACAGTTTTCTCTCTTTCTCTGTGTCTACCGTGTCTATGGATTCCAAAGGTTGCTATCAAAATGTGGGTGTGGTCTGGTAGGGTCAAAAATCCCTGTTCTTATGGGAACATCATGGAATCAAGGATTCTTACATTCTGGCTTTGGCTTATTTCTCCAAGCTGCTCATTTAACATCTCTGAATTCACTAGATGCTGTGCATCATACAAGTTGTGGTAAATGATTTGTGAATGACTGAACATGTGGTAAAGTGCCCTAGCTTACTTGGTGACTTCTTGCCTGGAGCTCCTCAGAAAGGCAGAGTGCCTACCTGAGACCCACTGTTTTGCTTCCCTTGTGGTTTTAGTTTGGGAAGACAGACCACCTTGGAGAAAGGGATTAGCAAAATGCTGAGGTGTGAAGGGGTGGAGAGTGCTGGTAGTGGTGGTAGGGGGGTAGTTTTGTGAATTAAAGTTCAAGCATGTCAAGTGAGTAAAAGTAGAATATGTTTTAGCTTTCCAGGAAGAATTTAAGATTCTTAGACCAGGGTCCACTGTTGTAAGAATTTTTGACAGTTATACATTTGTCTACTCCAGAGTGATTAACAACGGAATCCATGAAGACTCATGGTCTGGGGAGGCTTGTGTGTCTTGCTCAGTGGTTGGGTTGCGTGGGCCACTGGGCACAAAGGCCAAAGTTGGTGGGGGAGGAGTACACAGCATACACTTGGTGCCAGGAAGGGCTCCTGGGACTGAGTTGGAGAAAGATGGCAGCAGGTTCTGCAGCAGAAAACCCCTTTAAGCCCAGATAATTTGAGTAGGCTTAGATCTGGATAGAATGTTGCTCATTAATTGGAACTAGAAAGATATAGGAGGCTCAAGGATGATTGGCACTGGAAAAAGTTTACTGAAGGTGAATCCACTTACAATGAAGAACAACATTTCATGATTACTATGCACATAAGGCTTGATTGGGATTTGGTCTTTTAGAAAGTTAACTGATAATCATAAGATTAAGTTCATTCTAGTTTTTGTTTGCAACTAATTAGAAAAAATGTGCGAATAATTAGAAAAAAAGAAATGAATTAAGTTTTTTGGGAATAATCATTTCTGAAATTGTATAACACATATGCTATCTTTTGTTTACGTATAATCATAAAGAGGGTCCTATTTATTTATTTATATTTTTCCAGGGGATTAAAAAATCTGATAATGGGAATTCCCTGGTGGTCCACTGGTTAGGACTCCGAGCTTCCACTGGCAGGGCCCCGGGTTCAATCCCTGGTCGGGGAACTAAGATCCTGCAAGCCGCGTGGTGTGGCCAAAAAAAAAAAAAAAAAGTTGATAGTCATTTCATTCCCTTTTAAAGCATCTGTAAACTTGTAGATTTAAAAATCTTTGATAATTATAAAGAGGATCTCGAGATCATCATTTTCTGTGGTCTTGTGTGTGACAAGCAGTTTTCCAAAGTTACTTTAATTAATCTCATGAAAGATTGTCTATTTGGCAGGATTTGTAGTTGATTTGTTTGAATTTTTGTGTCGCTGCAGGAAAGGTGGATGGGGAGGAATATGACCGTGGAACTGATTTTATGAGTCATCCGTTCCCCAGAGGATAGTTCTGCATTATGACGACCTGAGTTTGGGGA